ATTATCAAAATAAACTTGATGACTTTGATAATAGTCTGGCGTATGTACAGTCTGTACACAATGTCTCCTTCTTCCACGTGTATGCGGAACTTCTTCACTTTTTCAAACAGAGCTTTTGCCTGTTCACCCTCCTTCTTGTCCAAAACTCCTGTTTCCGTTCTATCTACAATGCCCTGCTCAAAGCGTGTTTTTGTCCTTTGAAGCATAGGAACACTTGCTTCAACATCCTCACTTATTACAGATTCCTTGTGGTCCATCGAGCCATTCATTTTCATTGGTTTTGGGTCACTTTCTTCAACCACTGTCTCTGATAGTGCCCTTGTTGTCCATGGAGAATCGAAGCATTTTAGCAAGATAGATACAAAGTGTTCTAGTTTGGAGCTAGTCCGTGGAAACTTGAACCAAAAGTTGCTGCAAGCTAGAAAAATAAGGGTGTGGAGTAACACTAGGTAGGGGAAATACTTGGCAAACCAGTGCAATGTATTTTCATAGCAGACAGCATCAACATAATTGTACTGGTGGCGGTCCAAATCATACTGGATCCCTTTGGGCACTGATGATGTGATGCTTGAATTGAAGTTCCTCTTGCAGGTTTCATTGACCACCCATTTGCAGGGCAAGCAGATCATCTTGTCCTGGGTGACCTGCAGTGTTCCCCCAAAAACAGAAATCATGAGCATGACAATGGAGATATAGTCGGTGAAGACATCCCACCAAGGTTTCAGGATGCGGTATGCTGGCTGTGTGTCCACAAAGTACCGCAGCTCGGTGATGGGGATCATGGTTTATCTATGGGAACATAGAGAATGTAGACAGTGATGTATTGAATTAACGACCCCTGTCAAACATCAGAACAATACAGAAATGTCTGTTTACAAATTAAACGCTCCTTCCCTGTAATGCTTAAGCAACCTTTGCCTAAACGACGACACAAAACCTAGCAGAGAAATCAATGCTATAATTCTAACTAACAAGGGCACACATCAGAACACTAACCATGGTTAATTTGAAGGCTGTCAGGAGTAATGAATAGCGATTGTGACAAAGACTTTGGTGTTTAACTTTACTTAACTTTATGTTATTGATTTACCTATTGTTAAGCAGACTCAATTAATCTTGCTTTCAAAGGACTTTCATACCAGACAAGTCATTTCAAATGTTAGGGTTAAATGTCAATCAATAAAATATAAAGTAAATTTATCAAGATTAAGGTGAAGTGTTAATGGGCTGCCTATGTTAAGAAAAAAAAAACAGAGTCAGTGCAAAGAAACACCTGCCTTCAATATGTATGCAGGGTGTAAACGTGATTAATGACTAAGTTAGGTAGGCAGTAATTTCACACTTGTTAATCATTAGAGGTTGTATTATTACTGTTCATCAGCAGTAATAAATTCCACTTCTCTATTCTGATGCTGATTATAACACAAAATCTGAATACCAAAACTAAAACAGGCAGAACAACAGCCACCTCAAGGCACTTTACATTGTAAGATAAAGACCCTACAATAATACAGTGATGAGACAACATGAGATTCATCCATCTGTTTAACATGGGGTTTGGAGCCAATTGATGAGCGAGGGTTTTCAATGCATATTAAAAGATTTTGGCACTCAAGTTCAGAAACATTTGAATTTAATTGTATGTGCAATGTAATTTACGAGAGCATGAGTAAGTCACAAAATGACTTCTTTTAAGGGAACACAGTATCGCTTAAGTATCCTTGGAAAACACACTGAATACAAGTTGCCCACTCACTCATGCTTTTTACATTAGATCAAAAGTGCGGTATGGATGTGCGTGTGCTTGAGTGAATGAGACTTGTAAGAAAGCATTCTGAGGGTTCAAATTGAGTAGAAAAGCACTATATAAGTACCAGTTCATGTATCATTAAAATGTGTAGCCAACCTCAAAAGGTGAATTTTAAACAGTTACCCACAGATTTAAATTGTTCTTATGGTGGGGTGGCCATGAATACATTCACTGAACAAAGCACATACACATGTTAATGTAATAACCATTGCTAAGTAATTAAACAGAAACTCGACTTTTATTACTCATTCATTTACATCACAACTGTGGTGATATAACAGATAGTGGAGTTGCTCATAATCCAGCATGTGAGACAATTTCACACTGGATGGAAGATACACGCAGACAGCCTTAGTAAGCTGCTGAGGACACAGTCATCAAAATTAAAAATGAATTCATTTTGTTACATATTTACTCGCTGAAGAAAGGAATTCCTTACACTGCTCATTATATAACTTTTGCATTATTAACAAGGTGGTATGACATAATGTACGCTGTCACATTACCATGAGTTAACAACATAAACCTTATGCTACAGTCCCGCAAAATGACACAAACCCATACTCTATCAAGGGCACACTCAAGATGTTTCTTTTAGTATGTAGGTATTAACACAAAGGTGACAGTAAGATGATTAAGCCAGCCCAAGGAGGATCCAAAGAGAAAAATGCTGTAGCCAAAGCAATACTACTTTGGAGGCTATAGCGTTATAAGCCCGACTGCTAATTACTAGTAACTTGTGAGCATATGAAAATGCCAAAACAGGTAATCCAACACTTTTTTTATTAAACCCTTTGAATCATCGTTTAACATCGTTCTGATTTCTTTGCTATTAGTTTTGTATTGGTTGTACTAATACTAATACCAATATTTGGTGATTCAAAAAAATCTGATCTTGTCTGATACAATTTGTCCTTCAGAAAGAAGAAACATGAATAGATTAGTCAAACTCCAATGTAAAGTAATATCTCCTCAAAAATTTTAGATCACACAAAGTGAAGTCAGCTGATTAACACACAATGAATTCATCATCCAAATATAACTGACAAACTTATGAAACACAAGTAATGACATACCAGACATGATTACACAGACATGTATGTCTGAGTAAATACGTGTATGTATGTATGTATGAATGTATATATGTATGTATGTATTTGCAATTAGAACAAAAATGCATTGCAGGAAAATTTTGTTCCAATACTAGGATATATCACCTTCCTTATGATGAATGTTTGAGAAAAGTGAAAAACAGACACACAAACATACAGAGACTCTTTCCTTTAGTAGGTAGGTAATGCATTGTCTGGGGGATATTGCTGGACCAGCCAAAGTCATGCACTGCCTTAAAAAAATCCAAAATAAAAAAGCCACATAATACATAGCTTATGTAAAATGATAGGTTAACAATGTCCTATTAGGTATGAAAATTTGTTTTACTTACAAATTCTAATTGTAAAGCACAAGTCCTCCATACATAAACAGCCAAGAGCAATCCACAACTAATCTCCCTTTCCTCTGCTGTACATCAGAGCCAGATAAAGCCCTCTAAATTGCCACACCCAGCATGAAAGCTCGAGAAGTCACTCTTCTTAAGAAGATGTTCCGTTTTGGCTTGTTTAACCCAAACAACGTGACCGCCAGAGGAGCCACCTTGCTCCCCTGCTCTCTATTCTTAGTGGTTTCCGTTAATAATACCCAGAGTATTGTCTGTGGGGGCCTTGAGAAGTACCTCCCTCGACCTTCAGGAAGAGATCCTGTTTACCTTATAGAAGCTGCTGTCTCCAACAAGTGTCTCTCTGGAATACTCTACCGTCAGCTTTTGCAACCTCCCAAAAACACACACACACACACACACACACAACAAGAATCAAGACCTGGCATTCATCACAGAGCTTGTACTTTGGTAGGAAACTGTAATGACAAACAGTCGAGACGCCTAGTCTGATTGTTGGCCAAATAAGCATATTTAGACTGGCCGGTGATCAGAGAATCTTTTTTTCTTCACACAGCTAGCAGCTGTTGTATTGCAACCGCCTGTATGGATGGACGATGAAGCAGCAACAAGTACTCTTAGTCAATAAACTCACAAGTTTGGAGGTGTTATCTGTGCTCCAGTGCCTGATGATGTCCCTGGCGGACTAGCCACTCACTGAATATCCAGAACTCTTCATGAAGCATCGCCTCTTTTATCAGAACGCAGTTGAATCTGAAAGAGAAAAAAAACCCAACCCACTTGGTATGAAAATGCAGTCTTCTAGACTTTCTGAAAAAGGCAATTAAAGTTACAAAAGCGTGCATTAAGTGATGTTTTAAGCTGATGCTTTTTAAATGAGTGATTATTTATTATAATAATAATAAAAATAAGCTAGTTTGAATTTGTTTTCGTCACCGCTCATAACCATAACATGGGATGCCTTTGTCATCTAGCTAGCTGAGCAAGCTACTCAACATAAAGTTAAACCCGGGTGCTTTTTTTCTTTACATGTGCCCTTAAATAACATGAAACGCTGTTTTTAAGGGCGTGAACTAGAATCTGACAACAACCAGCTTATTTGTCAATACCGACCACGAATAAAGGCATTTTGTTGTTAAGACATGTTCGCAAAC